CCCGCTGGTCCGGGTCCTGTCAGAGCGGCCCGGGCGGCGGGTGAGGAGGAAGGTGGAGACACGGGCATGGCGGGAGCCGTGGGGCCCGCCTGGGGAACAGGTGTCTGTAGGCGTTCCCGCAAACACCCTTGGAAGGTGGACGCGGGCTGTTGGATGTCCTGTAGGCCCGAGTAGTGGTTCCATGGGGAGACTGCTCAGTAATTTAGCCACAGTAATAAATATATGCAATTAATTTGAATCGGGTTGAGAGGAGCAGAAACCTCAGAACGTTGCATACCAGCTTTCAGTTGGTTAAAGCGTTAATTAGTCGGTCGCAACACACCTAAATGTGTGGTGTTACGTGCTTCTTGCACATGTGTTTGTTCAGCTTATTAATTAAGCTTGCTTTCTTTTTATCCCTTGTTCCTTCCAAGTTTCTTCTGTTTCCTTGTCTGTGATTCTGGTCTGGCAGATGCAGTATTTTTGGTGAGAGTGAGCTCAGCTAAATACAACTTTTGAATGCAATCTTGGCAGAGAAGGCCGCAATTACCTGGCCTGAATGGTGTCTCTGGAAAGAGCAGGTGTTCTGCCGATGTGGAGTGTAAATCAGGGAAAGATGGGAATGTTTTAAAAGCATTGTGGAGATCCAGGGATGAAACTGGCAAAAGTGATAGCATCAGCTACCCAAATAGGCCTTCCTTTTGCTTTCCACATGACAGTACAGAAGTTTTAATGAGTTGAAGTGGTTAATAAATCACTGAAAACCAATTTCCTCCTTTCTTTTCCTTCCTCCATTTTTCTTTCAGTGACCTTGTTTACTTCCAGTGTGTTGTTGGTGTTTATAAGATATAGCAACTTCATGCGTCTTATGCCTATCTCTGCAGTTATGGATATCTTCTGTCATTTAATCAATGCATCCTTTTCTTTATCTTTTTTTTTGGCTCTTTAACTTTTTTCCTCTCGGTAGCAATAGGAATAACTCCCATCGTGATTCAGTTGCAAAATAAATCAAGGCATTCGTGAACTCTGTCTCAAAATCCTTTCAGCAGTGCTGAACTCTTCTATAATTTTTACAATTCCTGCTTAAAATAATTTAAGCCCAACTCTCATTTTTAGTATCATCACAATGTATAGCTGTAATTATATCATGAGTCTTAAAGGGAATGCTAATGGAACTTTAACTAGCCTTAAACTGAGAGAGCTTTGTGTAGTGTTGTTGATGTAAATGAACATCCAACTCAGGTTGTGTGTTCAGGTTTTGTATACAACACTCAGCAGATGCATGTTTTCAGATTCAACACCCTGTTTCTCAGACCTTGTTTGCAACTTAGTAGAAACCATTTCTTAACTCTAATATATGTTTCAAACATCCTTTCAACTTGAACTTCAGACTTAATAGTTGAAAAAAATTTATCTTCTGACGATGAACATATTTGGGTGGGGGGAATGAAGTACTCTATATCTGAAGATAAGAGTGTTCTGTAACTCTGTGGTTCTAAAGGATTCTTAATTTATTTACTCATTAATATATCAAAGAGATGCTCATGATTTTCTGTGTTCTGCTGCCAGATCTTGTTTGTGGGGGTTTTGGGGAGGTTTTTTTTTTGTTTTTTTTTTGTTTTTTTTTTTTCAAATTCTGTATTAGAAAACACGCATTGTCCAGAGAATACAGATAAAATAAAAATTAATAAAGTTATCTCTTGCTTCTGCAACCTGGTTGTCATTGCATTTAAAATTTGAGGGTGTTATGGGAAAAACCATAATGGAGATAAAATTATAGAGGAAATGTATATGAGTTTCCAAGGAAAATTGACTTAAGTAGTATCTGTTAAAGATTGAGCTCACAGGTTTGTTGTAGAAACAATTTTCTAAGTCAGAATGACAAACTTTGCTTAGTTTATGTGAAGTGAACTTAAATATTTTCCATCTCTGGGTGGGAGTGGAGTGATGATAGTAGCAGCAGCAGCAGTAGGCCTAGTAATGCAGGAGTTATCTTCTTTGTTTAGGTGCCATTATAATAGGTGTTTACTGTAGTAGAGCAAAAGTTTCTTAAATGTCTTTCAGTACTGTAGTGCTCTGAGGCTGCTTCTGTCGTTGCTCAAACTGGAGACTAGATTTGTGGCAACTTATTAAACAGAAAGCTTTTTCCACAGCAGATGTAGCCCTGTTTGGCACTGGCAGCATTGATGGTGTTAACTCTGTCAATGGCTGAGTTATTCCATAAATATCCTGGGATTAAAAATGGGAATGTTTATTATTACTTTATAATGCCTTTGGCTAACTCTATAAGACTTCTGTCCCTAGTGTGTGTAATCTGGGTATAAAAGGTAGAACCTCAACTTGACATTGTCTGGATAAAATGGAGGCCATACCTTCCCAGGAGTTGGATAGGTTGATTTCTACAGGGTAATGTAAACAGTTTTGCTTAATGTACAGCTGTTTGGTGGTAGAGCTTTCAGGAGATCCAGAGAGAAGGCATTATTATATGATATAGAATTACATTTTCAAATGTATGTTGTGAGCATAGTAACTGCATGTCTGAAAGAAAAATATTTGCCCGTCTTGTAGCAGGAAGTGGCAGGGTGCATTTAAACTAGATTCGTGAAATGCTCTTCAGCGTGAGTAGCAGCATGACCTTGAAGCTATATTTAGTAAAACTAATCAAATTTGAAAAAAGATTAGAAGTACTATGTAGTCCTGAAGTCTACGACTGCTTCTCCCAGCCTCCTCCCCATGATCGTTAGCTTTATGGGTTTTGTAAGTACAGTAAAAATCTGTTGTGAGGAAATGATCGGGCTGGCATGGGCTGGTTTGGACAACCCATAATTAATACTACTCTCATATTATTTCTAGGCGCTTATGTAGCTCTTAAATATATGGAGAAACTAAGACTCTCAGTCCTGGTTTTTTGCTTAATTTTAATTAGCTGTTTCTATTCTGGGAGATACTGGCGTACGTCAGGCAGTGTTGCATGTTACAAGGTTTTCTACAGCGTTGTTCACCTGCTGGGTGAAATGGTACTACCTGTATTTAGTAATTTCTTTGGTTTACAAGGGGCTGTATCCAAACAGCAGCATCATGAATATGTGCTGTAAAACTCTGAATTCTGGCATGCTCAGTCTTGACTCGTGAGCCTGCATGCCTGTTCTTGCCTTGGCATTAAGGCTGCTCTGGTATTAGCGCCCAGCGCTGTCAATCACTGCTGCTTCAGTGTGTGGTGTTCTGCTTAATCTTTTATGTAACCCACCAGGGATTAGTGACTTCTCACTTGCTGGAACATAGGATTTAAAAAAATACCTTGTTAATTGAAAAATAAACTTAATCTTTTATGTAACCCACCAGGGATTACTGACTTCTCACTTGCTGGAACACAGGATTTAAAGAAATACCTTGTTAATTGAAAAACAGAAAAACAAATTTTTAAAAAACCCTCGCTCTGTGTATTTTTCTCTTCTTGGGTTGATTAGACACTTTCTGAAGCAAGCAAACAAATATTCAGTGTGTATGGTGACTCTTTATAAACATAGAAGGGATGACAACTGCCTCAGGTTCTCATGGCTGGGAACTGTGAGTTTCTGTGTGTTTTTCAACCACTCTGGTCCGAGTAGCTCCTTTTAAAAAACCCTCGCTCTGTGTATTTTTCTTTGTTGATTAGACTTTTAAAAAACCCTCGCTCTGTGTATTTTTCTCTTCTTGGGTTGATTAGACACTTTCTGAAGCAAGCAAACAAATATTCAGTGTGTATGGTGACTCTTTATAAACATAGAAGGGATGACAACTGCCTCAGGTTCTCATGGCTGGGAACTGAGTTTCTGTGTGTTTTTCAACCACTCTGGTCTGTATAGCTCCATTTCCCATGCACATTTGACAGGGTCACTACCAGTGACCTCTGAAGAAGCTTGGAGGTTTGGGAAAGCCCTCTCACAGATGGACAGGTAATTTAGGACATTATAATGTAGTAAATTTAGGAAGGAAATTTTTTGCAGTAAGGATCTGTTCTTGCTACCATTGTATTCCACATATCCACATCTTTTAACAGTATTAACAGTAGACTTTCCCCTTTCTATTTTACTCATTGTCATAAAGAAGGCTGAACTTCACAGAATTGCTGATGAGCTTTTATTTTCCGGAATAACCTTGTGATGAACTGACACACGTGGGGAAGTGGCGTTCTGACCTAGAATAGTTAGCTCTGAGCTGATTGCTTTTGGGGGAATAAAATATTGCAATTATAATAGATAATTCTGTCAAAATTATAATTAAAATAGTTTAAAAAACCCACATAATAGCCGCAGTGGAAAAACATTTTTAACACTGAGGTAATCCTATCCTACGCTTCT